ACAGTATACAAAGCATAAATGAAAGGATTACTGTTTAAGGTGGGTTATTTCAACAAAAGAAAACAAAGACTCAATGTATAAGATTAGCATATTTTTGTCAAACTATAATTATTGTCATTATTTAAATTCAAACAAAACAGACATTCTGTTTCTTAACTTTGTTTTTACTTCTTGTATAGTATAAATCACTGGCAAAAATTTCTCAAACTAACAAAATTAAGCAATTTCCTGCATTTTTACATTACAATAGCACATTTGCAGCTCATCTTTATAACAAACATTTCTACAAAAATCTTGATACTTTTGTTCTCCACATACTGACTAAATGAACATTAGAAAACTATTTAAAAGTGATTGCCGCAGCTAGATTTATTTTTTTCTGCCCCTCATTTTTCATTGCTGAAGCTCTCACTTCCATCTGATTTATGAGACTGCACTAGTTGATTAAAAGCAGATGGAAGAAATAGGTGGTTTGACATAGCCTAAGCTGTAATTACATTTTGTTTTATGATGAACGCAATACAGACTGTGACAGTACTTTAGGAGTGCCTGAGCTTTTTGACCATTGTTGTCATCATTCATTTTGGTTTAGCACAGTGACCTCATGCACAGCACTGTTCCTCTATATGCGAACATTTAGGTCATTTGTACATTTAAGCCACCACAGAAATACCTGCCATAAACATGAGAAGTATAGGAATACTTCTTCATTCTAATTTCAATAATATGCATAATATGCTGAGGAGATTGCTGTGATCTACAGTAATTTATGTCATTTTATGAGTACTCTGTATATTATGAAGACACATAAACACAGGAATATAAAGAGAATGTCTAGGCATTACAAGTCACTGTGTTTCCTATGGTAAAGGTGCTGGCCATGGGGGTGTATGTCCAAAAGCTCCAGAATACACACACTAAATATGTGTAATTTTCATCAACTCTAACAATACAACATGATGTCACTTAATTTTAGTTGATATCTGTGGGAAATCCCAACCTCCTGCTATCAGAGTCTATTTCCCATGATATTACACAATCTCATGTCACATTCAGATTCATTGTTAAATTGTGGAACGTGCATTATTTTCACTGTTTGTTTTCTCCATTACATAATACTGAGTGTAGAATCTTTTAGATGAAAATAAGAATGTATTCTTTGTCACTATCTTATACTGCAGTCTTCGTTCTATGTCTCTTTACACTATTTTCCAAATCCACACGCAAGAATGTTTAGAGTCCAGGGTGCATGATCAGCACATGAATGAACAGAACCACACTGTCTTATGAGCCATCAAACTCCCAGATCTGGCAGCTCAGCCAACCTGCTTTTCCTGTTCAGAAGGCAATGCACCACTACTTACCATGGCATGACTTACGGTCTCCCTCACATTTCCCCCAGAGCATCATAACTAGAGCACCATAAGAGGAGAAAGCAAGAATACCAAAATCTACTTCCCAATGGTGCCTCTTACAATCACCCTTCTGGGCCTCAGGAAAATAGCAGCTCCCCTACTAGATGAGCAGAGATCAAATGATTAGACTGCACAGGCTTTCCAGCTATGGCCTTAGACCCTAGGGGAAGACAGGAGTCTCATCAAGAAAGTTTGTATTTTAGTAGAAACTCTTGTCAGTCTCTCAGTGCACTTCCTGTTATTTTTCAAGATACAGTGTTCCTTGTGTGCATAATCTACTACACACTCAATGTTCAGTGCAGAATATCCTCTGCATAGTAACTCCTAAATCCTGATGCCAAACAAAGGTCATATTTAAACAGTAACTTCTGTTAAAGCAAAAAGAGGCCATGAATTAGAAAACAATGAAGAAGCTATGGAAGGGCTTAGAAGAAGGATGAAGCAGAGGGAAACTAAGCAATTGTTATCTCCAAAAACTTATTTTAAAAAGTTGAAATAGGGGGGCTGGAGAGATGGCTCAGTGGTTAAGAGCATTGCCTGCTCTTCCAAAGGTCCTGAGTTCAATTCCCGGCAACCACATGGTGGCTCACAACCATTTGTAATGAGGTCTGATGCCCTCTTCTGGCCAGCAGACATAAACACAGACAGAATATTGTATACAGAGCAAATAAATAAATAAATAAATAAATATTTTTTTAAAAAAAAGTTGAAATAGGTTTTATGGCCATGTGCCCTAGAGTTGAAAGATTCATATTAGAGCACAAGTTTTAGCCATACATTTTCTCTCAAAATGTTCATCTTAAACCTGTAATATAAGAGTTCTTTTAGGCAGGCTCACAGCATTTTATCCAGGTCTATTTTGTTCACACTAGTGGACCTTCTGAAATTTGGTTCCATAATAAGTTCCATTCTTTACCTAAACTCTCAAGTCCCTGGTCTGTGTAATCTAGAAATGACAAGTCAGAACATTTATCAATTACAATATATTTTGTGTTTGTTCTAATAAATAAAGCTTGCCTGGAGATTAGAGGCTGGAGGTAACCACTATTGGATGACAGGATCTGACAGAAAGTGGCTCATGCTATTAATTCTAGCATTTGGGAGATAAAGACAGGAATATAAGGTGGGTGGAGACAGGATCTCATCCCCCATTTGGTCTGATGATTTGGAGAGGTAGAAAGTGAATTTGACTGCTGGTTGCTTCTCTCTTCTGACAGCTGTTCCCCAATATCTTCTCTGGGATTTTATTAACAATACTAATTAGGGCCATGCATCAAGCAATCATCTTAACTACTTATTTCTAAAGTGTACTACTTTCAAAAGATGGAAATATTTGTGCTCCTTTCTGTCTATAACTTTTTGTGCTTGGACTGCACATGGTTTAAAGTTGACCTTTAAATTCAGTTCTTACACAAGGGGGCACTCATTTACTGGTATATATTTTTTTCTAACTGACCAGATGAGGCACAGTGTTGAAGCAGTTGAAGGACTTTCTATCCGGTGCTGGGGAGCAGAAGGATAGTGAGTTCAATAAAATTCTCAACTGCATAGTGTAAGGCAAGCCTACTCTACAGGAGGCATTGCTCTAAACAGAAATAAATAATCAACATAACTTGTAAACACAAGAAAGAAATTCTTAATGACCTGGAAACAATGGGGGACAGAAAGAAATAAGAGATTAGAGCAAGGATAAATTTAAAGGAATTCAAATTTAAAAATTAAAACTCACAATTGTTTTTTTAAAAAAATATATAATTAAAAAAACATAGCTCTATTGACTTTCCAAAAGTTAAAATAATCCCTGCACTGAGGGAACGGCAGTAATAAGCTATTACTTCAGCCTGTGCTCATGTGTACCGTCAGCTGCTGAGACCTGTCAGCTGACACATGCAGTTACAGCGAATGGACGGAACAATGACAGCAAGATTGAACACATCTGTATGAGAGTTCCTTCTCGCAAATTCCATATTCTTTGGCTCAATAAACCTTCCCACAATGTATACAGAAATCTGGTCTGACTTCATTGACATGCCGTGGATCAATACATGTTGGGAAAAAATAAAATCACATATCCATCTACAATCATGTCTTCTTTCATAATGGTGACTCCACAACTGTTTGACTTCAGTGTTTCCCCTATAGTGTACACAGTAAACTATTCCACCTATTATGGTATGAAGGCAAAAATCATGCTCCACACACAAATCCTTTTTCTATTACTGAAATGGAAAGTTGACCATATGACTCAAATTTTTAATTGTATGACTAAGTGGTGAATGAGTTGTTTAATCTAAAAATTTAGTTGGTTTAATCATGAGAACAAGGTCATTCCCCTGGGGAACAATGGAGTGGGATCAAGGGAACTTGATCCAAAATAAGAACTTTTGATTCAGAAACATTATTCTACAAACTGGAGATACTTATGTTCTAAAATTAATGCACCTTCCTCTGGATAAATTATTCCACAAAATTAAGTTTAATAAAAAAAATCTCTTTAAAAACTGCATGCACCTGGGGTGGTTAATTTTTAAAAGAGGAGCCAGCCTGGAAAAAAAATTTTGCATACCATATAAAATGTCATTTTTAAGTCTCTTTTGTGTTCAGACCCAAGGTTATACTCTGAACAATTTAAAAAGGAACAAGAGGACCTAGGCAGTGGTTGCACATGCCTTTACTCCCAGCACTTTGGAAGCAGAGGCAGGTGGATCTCTGTGACTTCAAGGCCAGCCTGGTCTATAAGAGCTAGATCAGGACAGGATCTAAAGCTACAGAGAAATCCTGTCTTGAAAAACAGAACAAAACAGAAAACTAACAACAACAACAAAGAAAAAGGCACATCAAACCACTTAGGCAGATGGAGATTTACAGAGCAAAACTATCTTTTTGATCATGCATAATGATCAGAAATTCTAAAAGAACCAAGTCTAAGTTAGATTCTGGGACTATCAATCTTTAGTTCTTCTGGGTCATGAAGGGTGATGAAAAGATAAACTTATTATATCAGCCTTTCCCACCTCACTATTATTAATGACATGCTCATGAGGCTGAAGACTCAGCATTTAGAACACTGGATACTCATCCACAGGGCCTAACATTGATACTACGTACCCACAGCTGTCTGTAACTCCAGACAGAGCATTAGACACCACCTTTTTATCACCACTGGTACCTGGGTTGTGGGGCTATAAACCAAACTCGGGTACCCAAGAGGAGCAGTACTTTGAGACAACTGTCCAGTTACCACATATGTCATTATAATGTGGAAGGTGAAGGTGTCCCACTGTTCCTTCTGTGTCTTAGCACATAAATGCCCTCTAGATGGTTGTCAAAAGATAAAATGGATTGAATGTGAATGGAATATCTATAATGCTTATGTTATTGTTATCAGTTTTTTTTATGTGAGTAAAGATACTAAAAAGTTGGTTGAAATCAGTCTGAGTCCAGCCAGATTTTATTAGCAAAAGGTTATATTATTTGAGATAGGCTCTTTCTTTTAGAATTTTTGAGACAGGATACTTCCTCATAGCCATGGATGGCATGAATTTATGATGGGGAAGAAGCTGGCCTCACTATGATCAGGCCCACCAACACTCTGGTGTGCTATAATTATAGCCATACACCTGTAAGTCCAGTTGAAATATGTGTTTCTAAAGGACTTATCATTGAGTCAGAGAAAAAAATAATAAAATAAGATTTAAAAAGGAGCATCATTGTTTTGATGGATAGTAACTTTTCGCAAAATTCTATAATTTAAATGACCAAATCATTTCATATGTTCTCAATAACAGGTTATTTTCTTTGCATTGTTAATTACACCCATTTATAAATGTTTGAAGTGTGACTGTGTGAATACACCCGTGCCATGATGTGTATGTAGCACTGACAGGAAAACCAACAGGGGTCTATGATCTACTTCTGCTTTGTGAGTTCTCGTGATTAAACCTTTGGAGTTATTTGACTGCACATGACCTCAATGGCACTTCTTGTGAAGTGAAGAAATATGAGAAAATTTGTTGAAGTATGGTGCATAACGCAGAGATAGAACCCAGGTCAGACATAGCAGCAATGAACTTTACTAAATGTGGCAATTTTCTGGTGTATAATTTTGGTTCTAAGAGTGTTATAAATAAATGCATAGTCCTCAAAACGAACAAATTTGCTTGTAATATTTCCTCAAATTGAAATTGAGCACCACTGAAATGGCTCAGGGGGAAAGGACTGTTGTGTGTAAGACTAGAAACCTATCCTCAATTTCTATAGAACATCAAGCTGTGGTATTAGATACACAGTTGTTTACTGATTCTCATACATTAGTACATCCATATCAGATAAATGAAAATCTTTTAATACACACATGAATTATTTAATGTTTCTTATAATTTCTTTTGTTACTCATTTTAACATATACATTGTTAAATTCTCTTGAAAACCCAGCACATTGGAAGTTCATCATCTACCCCTGGACTAGTACTCAAGCAGAAGACAAATGAGCATCCTGAGTTCAAATGTATCCCTGAGTCATTACTGACATCCAAGGTAAGATGAACAACAAATAACAAAATCTCAAGGGAATTTGTGAAAAGATGAAAATCAAAACCAGAAACACAAACCACCACCCTTATGAGTAAATCATGATCAAACATGGCCTGGTATTTAAATAACCAATGGGAAAAATTATATGATGGAGGCTCCATTATATACATTACAGTAGAAAAATACCTATCACTAGGTACAGACAGAATAGAAGATAAACTAAAGTCATAGAAGTAATATAAGGTCTACAAAATAAACCTCACTAATGGATTTGCCACATATACAGCACACGTTAGTGACTCCCTCAAATACTTTAAAATAGAAACCACAATACAATGATCTCCTCCATCTGTCTTGACTGAACGTGGTATGTAATTTACTTCTTTCAATGCTATGATAAAAAATATTTTTTCATGAAGCTGAAGAAATCGGTGATGTTTAATGTCATTAAAATTTTTTCATGAATAGGAATTTCTTCATGACTTCTTTCCTATTGCAGACTTAAAAGTGTTCTAAATAGAATTTAAAACATTTATAGCACTAAGTCATGGCGAGGTGACGAAGAAATATTCATTCCCAAGACTAAGATCAGATTTTTAAAAGTTTGCTGTAATTCCTGGTATAAGAAGACCCAAAGTCTTAATTTTTTTTTTTTTCGAGACAGGGTTTCTCTGTGGTTTTGGAGCCTGTCCTGGAACTAGCTCTTGTAGACCAGGCTGGTCTTGAACTCACAGAGATTCGCCTGCCTCTGCCTCCCAAGTGCTGGGATTAAAGGCGTGCGCCACCACCACCCGGCCCAAAGTCTTAATTTTCTAAAGATACAAAATATCAATCCAAAAATTCTCTCTCTCATTCTCTCTCTCTCTCTCTCTCTCTCTCTCTCTTCTCTCTCTCTCTCTCTCTCTCTCTCTCTCTCTCTCTCACACACACACACACACACACACACACACACACACACCACATAAAAACAATTAAAATATTTTTTTTATATTTTTTCGAGACAGGGTTTGTCTGTAGCTTTTTTTTTTTGGTTCCTGTCCTGGAACTAGCTCTTCTAGACCAAGCTGGCCTCGAACTCACAGAGATCCGCCTGCCTCTGCCTCCCGAGTGCTGGGATTAAAGGCGTGCGCCACCATTGCCCGGGTTCACATAGGGTTTCTTAAAACCAGATCTCTTCTAAGGAGATTTTGAAGGTGGGAACTGGTCAGATTTCAATCCCTCTGCTTGAACAACCAGAGAGATGGGCTGGATTTTGTGCTCAGAGATTGGTTGCTTTGGTGCTCATTTGAACAAGGGAAGAGTGTGTTTCTTTGGCTCTGGTTTGAGAGCCAAAGTGTGTTTCCTTCACTGGCTCTTTTTAACTTTTTGGCTCTGTTTTAGGGTGATGTTCTTATAACTAGCTCTAGATTCAGGGACAAAGTGTTTTCCCTTGGATCTCATTTCAATTACAGGGTGTGATTCTTTGACTGGCTGATTTTCCTGCCTGTAGGACTTCATAACTCCAAATAATATGTTTTTTCCATTAGTTTGCTGGTGCAAATAAACTAAAGTGTTATCATATTGAACAGATTATTGACACTATCAGCTTTTTTTCTACAGAATGAATGCTGTTAGTTATCTGACTGTAAATGTATTGGCTTAGGATCTTGAAAAACAATTTAGAATAAGCCCTCGGGTTGTTCTTCAGGTATCCAAAGGATATTGTAATTTGCAAAAGCTTTATCAGATTGATTACACACAAAAAGTTTTACTCCTGTATAAATTACAAAATATCACATTGAATTTATTCATAGAGTTTCACTGGGGTATGATTTTTGTAATGTTTTTGAAGTCTACATTCATCAAATTCACAGTTTCTATCCTGAATGGTTTAATGTATTTGGAGATTATTGTGACAAAGGATTTACCACACAGATCCAATTCATGGTTATTCTTCTGTATGTGTACATTCCTGCATTTGAAGATGAATAAGACATGAAAGGGCTTTAACACACTGATTTCATTAATACTATTTCTGTTACTTTTAAGCCTTTGAAGATTACTGCAAAGGCATTACTACACTGAATACATCCATGGAGTTTCTCTCTTTTGTAGATTTGTTTATGTTTTTGAAGATCACTGTGCTGTGCAAAGCTCTTACCCCACTGATTACATTCAAAGAGTTCCTACCTAGGGTGAGATCTTTTATGCCTTTTAAGATTACTTAAAGCTGAAAATGCCTTACCACACTGATTACATTCATATGGTTTCTCTCCAGAATGTGTTCTTTTATGTTTTTGAAGACTACTGTGTTGGGCAAAGGCCTTACCACACTGACTACATTTACAGGGTTTATCTCCAGTATGTGTTCTTCCATGGGATTTAAGAGTATTATACCGAGCAAAGGTCTTACCACACTGATTACATTCATAGGGTTTCTCTCCAGTATGTGTTCTTTTATGGTTTTGAAGATTACTCTGATCTACAAATGTCTTACCACAATAATTACAATCATATGGTTTCTCTCCAATATGTGATCTTTTATGTGTTTGAAGATTACTGTGTTGAGCAAAGGCCTTACCACACTGATTACATTCATAGGGTTTCTCTCCAGTATGTGTTCTTTCATGGTATTGAAGAGCAGTGTGCCATGCAAAGGCCTCACCACACTGATTACATTGATAGGGTTTCTCTCCAGTATGTGTTCTTTTATGGATTTGAACATTACTCTGACCTGCAAAGGCCTTACCACACTGATTACATTCATATGGTTTCTCTCCAGTGTGTGTTCTTCCATGGTATTGAAGACCAGTGTACCATGCAAAGGCCTTACCACACTGATTACATTGATAGGGTTTCTATCCAGTATGTGTTCTTTTATGGATTTGAACATAACTCTGAACTGCAAAGGCCTTACCACACTGATTACATTCATAGGGTTTCTCTCCAGTGTGTGTTCTTTTATGGTTTTGAAGATGACTCTGAGCTGCAAAGGCATTCCCACACTGATTACATTCATAGGATTTCTCTCCAGTATGTGTTCTTTCATTCCATTTAAGGTGACTGGCATGTGTGAAGGCTTCAGAACATTGAATATCTACTGAAAGTTTTTCTCCAGCTTGAGTTCTTTCAATCCTGCAAAGATAATTGGCACATATAAAAACTTCACCATATTCAATACGCTGTTGTGGCTACACATTTGTATGAATTAATTTTATAATATGTTCCAATTATAAAGAGGATTCAGATACTAAGTTTTTATAACTGTGTCTAAACTCATGTTTTGCTCTTTAATTAGGCACTGTTTTGCCACTTGGAAGATACCTCCAATGGTCAATTCCTTTATTTTATGGCTTACCTTTTTACCTTTACAGAATCCAGAATCTTTTTTCTATATGATTATATATATATATATATATATATATATATATGAAGAGAACTGGATAAACCCAGAGCTTTTATATTCATAACTTCTCCTTTACTGTGAATCATATTGCATATGCTATGTGGACTAGAACACTCAGAATTATTTGCACATTTCTAGAACTTATAGGGCTTTTTTGCAGTTTGAATTTGTTCATGTATTAACAATAAGGGTGGAAAACCAGTTACTTGTATACTTAATTAAAATTCAACAAGTATACTCAACATGGGGACTACCAGTTATCTAATTGTTCTTAGAGAGTGGTATCCTACATCTCTCCATATCCCTGTGCTAATACACTTGTATCAAGAGCAATGTATGGTATCCATAGTAAAGAAGAATTACAAATAAGAGATTTCCACATTGAATTCTCAGGGTTTGACCTGCTGTTCCTCACAATCTTGTGGTATAGATATCAAGGTTACTCGAAAACAACTGCCACTTGACTCAGCTCTAACTGCTTCTCTCACTAAAGTTAGTACAGTCACAAGAAATTACAAGTAATAAAAGATTTACTATGGGCTATTGGCTTAGTACAAAGTTTTACAGATATACTTATAATCTCTTCAATGTATATACTTTTGTATTATGAGTAGCAAGAAAGAAATTTATTTGCAGATCTACAACAAAGCTCTCATGGTGCTATGCCTCAAAAGATGTTATCTTTATAGCTATTGTTTTCTTGACTTCTTTCTTAAAAGAATGTCATTCAAATGCAATTCACATATATGAAATAGGGATTTGTGAGAATTTGATAAAACTGTACATGTTATCAGTATTGCTTTAAACTAAAACTTTTAAGACACATAAAAATTTCATCAGAGGCACATTGTTATCTGCTTGTATATGAAAATTACCTTTCAGGTCTTCTAGAAAATTGACAATGCTCTTCACTGTTATGGTCTTCCCAATTACATCCTAAAATATAATGCCAGTAAATGTATGTTATATTATTAAAAATTGTGCAGTATTTAAGATGTTTTTTTTTTTTAAATATTTATTTATTTATTATGTGTACAATATTCTGTCTGTGTGTACGTCTCCAGGCCAGAAGAGGGCACCAGACCTCATTACAGATGGTTGTGAGCCACCATGTGGTTGCTGGGAATTGAACTCAGGACCTTTGGAAGAGCAGGCGATGCTCTTAACCACTGAGCCATCTCTCCAGCCCCCAAGTATTTAAGATGTTATATGAAGGGACCCTTAGAACTATGTCTGCTCTATTCAACTAATTCTTATTCTTTCTAAATAAAATTACAGAAGAACATCATTAACCAAGAAAAAATTATCCCCTTATTTTGAATCATGAAGGAAATTTAATTTCACCTATAGTAGCAAGGTTCCTGTAGTTCTCCAGCATCACATCTTTGTAGAGATTCTTCTGGGAAGGATCCAGCAAATTCCACTCTTCCTGACTGAAGCTGATATGCACATCATCATAGGTCACTGCCCTCTAAAATAGTTCATTCATGTGTATAAGAGAAGCATGATGGTGACAACATTGTAAATGCATACTTCTTTAACACTATAGTCATAAAATTCTGATGTTCCCCACTATTATTCCATGACAGAGACAGACACTTTTTAAAAATATATATATATATTTATTTATTTATTTATAATGTATACAACATTCTGTCTATGTGTATGCCTGCAGGCCAGAAGAGGGCACCAGACCTCATTACAGATGGTTGTGATCTACCATGTTGTTGCTGGGAATTGAACTCAGTACCTTTTGGAAGAACAGGCAATGCTCTTAACCTCTGAGCCATCTCTCCAGCTCCGAAGCAGACACTTTAGAAGGAAATTGAATAGAAGAGTCATGTCTGTTATTTTTGTACCCTTCGAATGGGATATCAACAACAAAAGAACTGTCTATTAATAAAGATAGTCAAGGAAACGGATCAACAGGAATCACTCAGAAAATTGTATGAAGAAAATTGTATGAAGAAATACTAATTACAAAATAGAAAAAAATACGGTGGACAAACTGGGTATGTTGACTCATGCCTTTAAGCAAAACACTCATAAAGCAGAGGTGTGTAGATTTGTCTCTGAGATGAGTGCCAGCCAAGTCTATGAAATCATGTCCAGGACAGGTGGAAGTACACATTAAGACCCTGTCTCCATTGCAAAAATCAGTGAAACAGGGCTGTAAAGATGGCTTGGCAGTTTGGAGCACTGATCCTTCTTGCAGAGGTCCTGGGTTCAGTTCCCAGCAACCATATGGTGGCTCACAACCATCTGCAATGAGATCTGGTGCCCTCTTCTGGCCTGCAGGCAGACATATAGGCAGAACATTGTATATATATAATAATTAAATAAACCTTAAAAAAATCAGTGAAATAAACAAATCACACAGAAAGAATTCAGAGCTGTGTACTGAAGTTCCTACAAAGAATTATGCATTCACTCCAGTTCTGTGTTCATCTTCCAGACAGCTGAAGTGTCCTATTTTAAACTGCAATACCACAAACATTTTATGAAAAGGTACTTTATGTTTAAAATAATTATAAATGGACAGATGAAAACATTAGCAATATAAATGTTGGGCATAACAAATTAACACAGTTCTGGAAATATGGCTGAGTACTACTGAGCTCTTCCTGGTCTTGAAAGAGGTAGGCACAATTGTCAGTACTTACATGGGGATCACAATTATTTATTATTCTAAGTTCAGGATTTCTGAGAAGCTTTGATCACTCTGATGACCAAGTACCCATATGGTACATATCCATGCAGACCCATAAAATAGTCAAATTGAGTGAAAAATTAAAAGCAAGCTAATCAAGCAGGAAGAAGTTCATGCACCGGCAATTCACTGACTCAGGATGCTCAGGCAGTATTAATGTCATGAATACATGGCATCCTGGGGATCAGAATGAAACCCTCTGTCAAATTTAAAATTTAAGATATGTAAGAAGCTGAGCACAGCAGCATATGCTTGACATTTAAAAAGCCTACATTCAGGGTCATCATCCAACAACATAAAAACAAAGCCATGAATGAAGCCCCCCTCATTTTACTTTGAGGAATTTGGAGCCACACATCAAAGGTTACTCAGACAAGCAAACAAAACAATTAAAACTACAGGCTACAAAACTCCTTAGCCCTGAACAGCAACTGTTTCTTCTTTATTTTCGGTGATTTACAGATCAAGCCTATAATGATGATAAAAGCATTTCAGTGTAAGTGGGAAGTTGGCTGATTAATTCCAACCACAACACAGTAGACATAAAAGTCAGAAAATTAGTTAAGGATATTGAGACTCATCACATACAATGAGGAATTTCATCTTGAAAAGCCTTTTTTACTGAAGGTTCATAGGAAATTGAAAGGACAGCAAGGAGAGAAACATGATCTTTTCTGGGAAATGGTTCATTAAATTAAATGCACAGACTGGACCAAGAGAGTGACCCAGGAGAGCAGACCAAAAGAGCAGGCCAAGACAGAGGGCAAAGACACACCTCAGAGGTGTGGCTTTCTGAAACACAGAGTAGGCCAAGAACAGGTCTCAAAAACAAACTGGGTGGTGGCGCACGCCTTTAATCCCAGGCAGAGGCAGGCGGATCTCTGTGAGTTCGAGACCAGCCTGGTCTACAAGAGCTAGTTCCAGGACAGGCTCCAAAACCACAGTAAAACCCTGTCTCAAAAAAACCAAAAAAAAAAAAAAAAAAGAAAGAAAATGATTTCTAGTGTAACTTTGTGAGGATGATGAGGAAATGAAAATCCCCTTAAAGAAATTGAGGAAAACATAAGCAAAAGAATGGAAGACATCAATAAATTTCTCAAAGGGGCTGGAGAGATGGCTCAGAGGTTAAGAGCATTGCCTGCTCTTCCAAAGGACCCGAGTTCGATTCCCAGCAACCACATGGTGGCTCACAACCATCTGTAATGAGGGCTGGTGTCCTCTTCTGTCCTACAGACATATATGCAAACAGAATAGTGTGTCCATAATAAATAAATAAATAAATAAATAAATAAATAAATAAATTTCTCAAAGAAACCCAAGAAACCAAGAAAAAAAAAATCAATATTTGATTGAAACAAGCAAATCTAGACTTGAAGACTGAAATAGAAGCAATAAAGAAACCACAGACAAAGGGAATGTTGTATATGGAAAATCTGGGTAAACAAATGGGATCCACAGCGAGAAGTGTAACCAACAGAATACAAGAGATAGAAGAGAGAATCTCAGGTGCTGAAGATTCTATAGAAGAAATCGAATCATTGGTCAAAGAAAACAATAAATCCAAAAATTCCTTACACAAAACATTATTTCTGGGACACCATGAAAAATCCAAACCTAAGAATAATAGGAATAGAAGAAAGATAAGAACACTAACTCCAAAGCACAGAAAATATATGTAACAACAAAAAAAAATCATAGAAGAAAATGTTTCCAACCCAAAAAAGGATACACCTATGACGGTATAAGAAGCTTAGGGAATACCAGATAGACTGGACAAAAAAAGTACCCCCAACATATAATGATCAAAATGCAAAACAGAAAATGAAGAAAGACTATTAAGAGCTGCAAAGGATAATGGCCAAGTACAATATAAAGCAGACATATCAGAATAACACCCAAATTCTTCATGGAAACTTTGAAAGCATGAAGGCCCTGGACAGATGTGCTGAAGACACTAAGAGACCATGGACACTACTCTACCCACCAAAGCTTCCAACCAGACTACTATACCCAGCAAAGCTTTCAGCCACCATCAATGGAGAAAACAATGTATTCCATGACAAAACCAGATTTAAACAATACTTATCCTAACAAGTCCAGTCATACAGAAAGTACTAGAGGGACTTACCAAGGAAGCTAACTGTAAACACAGGCAACAGATAACCTTACATCTGCAAACACCAAAGAAGGCAAACATACAAACACTACTACTGAAACATAGCTGGAACTAGCAATCACTGGTCATTTATATCTCTTACTATCAATAGACCCAATTTGACTATAAAAAGGCACAAGCTGGGCTGGAGAGTTGGCTCAGAGGTTAAGAGCATTGCCTGCTCTTCCAAAGGTCCTGAGTTCAATTCCCAGCAACCACAGGGTGGCTCACAACCATCTGTAATGAGGTCTGGTGCCCTCTTCTGGCCTGCAGGCATACACACAGACAGAATATTGTATACATAATAAATAAATAAATATTTTTTTAAAGGCACAATCTTAGAGAATGGATCCGAAAGCAAGATCCATCACTTTGCTATATAAAGAAAACAAACCTAACCCTCAAAGACAAACATTGCCTAAGAGTAAAGTGTTGGGAAAAGTTTTTCAAATCATATGGACCTAAGCAACACACAAGTATAGGTATCATAATAGTGAACAAAACAGACTGCAAAGTAAAGTCAATCAGAAAGATGGACACTTCATATTCATAACAGGAACCATGCATTAAGATAAAGTCTCAATCCTGAACATCTATGCCCCGAATATAAGAACACCCACACATGTAAAAGAAACATTCCTAAAGCTTAAAATGCACATCAAATCCCACATCTTACTAGTAGGAGACTTCAACACCCTACTCTCCCCAATGAACAGGTCAATTAAACAGAAACATAACAGAAAAATGAGACAACTAACAGATTTCTTGACTTAAATGGACTCAACAGACATCTACAGAATATTCCACCCAAGCGCAAAATATAATTTCTTCTCAGCACCTCGTAGTATCTTCTCTAAAATGGACCACGATCATGGTAACAAGGCAACCCTTGACACACACACACACACACACACAAAATTGGAATAACCCCCTGGGTTTTATCAGATCACTATGTTTTAATGTTATAATTTAACAACAACACTAATCACAAAATTGAATAGTGGAAATTGAATAGTGCTCTATTAAACTACCCCTGGGTCAAGGAAGAAATAAACATATACTACAAAAAAAAAAGCTGTTCTCCACAAAATTGAAAAGGTTAAACACATTTGGACAGGGTTAGTCAGCAAAATAAAATCAAACCTAATGACAGCAGACAACTTATCCATCTGCTTTTGGCCAACTTTGATGAGACCTGATTTTGAAAATCGGGAGTTCCTGTCTACCACTATAATCCATCAACCTGTCCTTGAAACAGTGTCAGTTTTTCTTTTCCAATGGAGAAATTGTAGAAACTATGAACACTGTGGCTCCTGCCCCACTCACAAATCCAGGACAATTGGTGGAGTCAATGGTACCACTTCAGTTGCCACCACCATTACAACCGCAGCTCATTCAACCACAATTGTGACAGATCCTCTTGCTATTATATAAATAGAATGTGACTGCAAACGGCCTGAAATTGGACAAAAGCAAATCTAGACATGCATGTTTCAGGGTTTAGTAGTATATTTCATTTTTCATAGAGATAATCCACATTCAAAATGATGAGACATTTTCTCTTTGAACTATGTGTATTCCCTGTTAACTTACACTGCAAACCTAAAAATGTGGGAAGCATGACTGGAGAGGCCTAATTTTTATAAACAAATAATAGTTATAAAAATGCAAAGCTGCTGCTGCTGCATACAATACTATTGCAATCAGTCTATCAATCCTGTGGTGATTTCTGTCATATTATATTGTGAATAAAATTGTTCTATAGAAATTAAATGATTTAAAACTCATATATAAAATGTTTAATGTTTCTGCCTGCTTTGTGGCTGGTTTTGTTATTTGATGTGCTAATTTGGGAACTTAATTCACATTCATGCAGTCTGTATAGATAACTAAAGCCCAGTTAAGTATTTTGTAATTTCAGGCTCCTATGTGGTTTGAAAGAAAGAAAGAAAATACATGTAACATATTTCACATTTCTGCACTTTCACCTTCTATGTAAATCTGTGGAAGATTTGATGAGGAGTAAATGAACCTATTTCTTCTACTCACATACCAAGGACACACTTGTGGTTAAAGTGAGTTGATAATGTGGTGTAAGGATGATTGTCCCCAACTCATTTCTTTGTGATCTCTAATGAAAAATACATTTTGTATAGGGTTAATTCTGTAAACAGATGCATGTTTATAAGATCTATAATGGTCTTGTAATCTTAATCTAGTATATTTTAGATATTTTAATTTTTCCCTCTTGGGAAATACATTTAGTATAGTGTAGAAAAATACTTCATGACATTTTCATATAAGGTTAGATAACTTTTCATACATAAACATGAAATTTGTTGTAGATAATTCTTTAAATGAAACATTTAATCTAGAAATCCAATTTAATATATTCCCCGAATCTATTTTATATGACCAGTGAGAATATATCCCCAAAAATTCATTGCTAATCCAGCAATAAAAATAATTTGAGTACTGATAAACTTCTTGGAGTACATATATATAAAATCACAAAACTTGTATTCATTCTCTTCTGTGATATGTTGTTCTATAGTCCAGAATAGCTTTTGCACCATTTTTTAAACCAGTTTTCCCCTTTGATGTTGGTACCAGAGTTGCTATAAATGACTACTGCTTTAGGGGTTAAATATTTTGTTAGTGGAGATACAACCAAAACACTAAATTATGATAAAACTTTCTGACTGGATAATAGGTATATGTCACCTGGTGGCATATTGCAAATGTGGAAAAACTGTGTTTTCCTCAAATAGAAAACTGGAAGGTTAAGCGACATCAGGCCTTAAAGTAGGTTAGGAACCTGTAGAGCCTCCTTGAAAAGCTTGTTAGAGGTTTTTTTTTTTTTTTTTTTTTTTCATATGGGGATGTGCCTGGTGTCTGGTTTTAAATCAGTGGTGGCGTGGTGGCTTCTCTGTAGTAGTTTGGAGCTAAATATCTGGACAATCCAGTTGAACAAAGTGTGCCCTAGCATCCTAATCTCTAACAGCCCTGATTAAAACACATTTATTTTCTGGGTGATTTAGAGGCAGTCCTCCCTCAGCTAATTCTACTTTGTGAGACTGAACTATTTCCAAGGCATTGGAAACTCTTCTACGTTGCGGCTTAGAAGTGCAGCGCTACCCAACAGGTGAGATGCCTTGATACCGTCCACATAGTTAAACACAAATGGAGATTGTGTGCGAAGGTTAAAGGCAAAGTGCTCAATTTCAAGAAGATACTGGAGAAACTAGGCTTCTCTAAGTATGACATATTGAAGTTGACAAGAAAAAACATTTGTACACACAGTGCCCAGCTTCCAATTCTCTAAACAAATCAAGCCCAAGGAGCAAAGTTATACAGAGGCCTGTTCCTAGGTCTAAGAATTAACAAAGACCACATGGGACTTCACAGCACAGAGAATCTGGCGGCAGGTTCCCACACAGATCCCAGGAGGACGCACCATGCTGTCTCCCGCACCTCACCCTCTGCTCCTCCCCATCTGGAGACAGCATTCCCTCGCTCACCATGTTGTGGTTCCTCAGGTCGCCAAAGCTCTCAGCTCATCAATTTCCAGCACACGAAACCACTGAAAACAGCATCTCTGCAAAGCCGACTTGGAACTTGGCTTCCCGGAAGAGCCCTGCACTGTTGCTGACTGGCAGGTCACCTGGACGGCCTGATTGGCTAGTGCAGTCTGAATGACAAGCACACTGTCCACAGGGCTACAGTGTGCTTAAATACTCAGTACAGTGGTTCCTGACCATTCCTCTCACCCCATTCAAAGATCTTTTCTAGATAGGCCAAGGTAAGCATTTCAATAGCACTAGCCCTTGGCTACAAAAGCAGACAATGTCACAATCTTTTTTTTTTTTGTTTTTTTTTTTGTTTTTTGTTTTTTCCAGACAGGGTTTCTCGGTGGCTTTGGAGCCTGTCCTGGAACTAGCTCTTGTAGACCAGGCTGGTCTCAAACTCACAGAGATCCACCTGCCTCTGCTTCCCGAGTACTGGGATTAAAGGCGTGCGCCACCATCGCCTGGCTGACAATGTCACAATCATGTACTCCATAGGAACTTTCCCTTTTTCCTCCAGGACACAATGTGGCTAGCTGGCTTGTACTATGCACTGTGCTTATCTAGGTTGGTGGAGTGATTTCCTGTCCCAGAGGGAAAAATATTAAGAGCTGAAGAGAATTTTAAGGTCACGAAAGAAGATGATTGTCATGGTGTTGAAAGTGAGCACTGCCACCAAGCAGCTAAAGGTGGTCCTATCATCTCAAATTATACAGATTAATGGAGGTTTTCCCATTTAAAAACCGTTAAGTAAAATCTCTCTCAGGCATAATCAATTTTTAGGTAATCCCAGAGGTAGTCAGTTTTACTACCCAAAATCACGATCTCAACAGCCAAGAGAGAAGAAATGAGAAAATATACTTGCCTGCAGGAGGCACAAAGTGCATGGGAGTTATTTTCAAAACACTGTTTTTCGCCGGGCAGTGGTGGCGCACGCCTTTAATCCCAGCACTCGGGAGGCAGAGGCAGGCGGATCTCTGTGAGTTCGAGACCAGCCTGGTCTACAGAGCTAGTTTCAGGACAGGCTCCAAAGCCACAGAGAAACCCTGTCTTGAAAAACCACAAAAAAAAAGAGCTAGTTTCAGGACAGGAACCAAAACCACAGAGAAACCCTGTCTCGAAAAACAAACAAACAAAAAAATAGACTTCCTCCAAATTTCCAAGAAATAGGCACCAAATATCCTGACAAGTTTCAGCCAACACCTCTCCTCGGGAGATCTACATTTCTAACAAAAGAAGAAAGGAACTAAACAATCTTGCTATTGTTACACAGAGACAGCTTGTCTGATGAGCTACGTGATCAGCTCATACCAGGCCTATGGCTTTTATGCTTGGCTGCTACACCATACATAAATATGGGCCTACAGTTAACAAATCTCTAATATTCCCAATTCAGCAACCTTCATTCCTGTATGTCACCTGTTTGTGTGTGTGAGTGTGTATGTGTATGATATTCTCTGTCATGCACAAACACACAAAAATATCAGTAACCTTATTTTCAAAAGTGCTTGGGACTTATAGAGTATTTGGAGTAAAGCAAGTTGCTTTACACGTACACTGATTCTTTAAACATTTGTTCTCTTGAAATTCCATTTTAAAAGAATTCATTTCCTCACTGTGGTGCAGACTTGGATTCAATCACTAATTGTAGGAAACCACATGGTAGTGAGCCTAACAGACATCATTTTCCTCATCATTAGAGAATGAGATGCTTTCAGTAATCAAAACTATTTTCTGTAAAGTAAAAACATCAGAAGACTTCAAGAGAATATTGTAGGGGGCTGGAGAGATGGCTCAGTGGTTAAGAGCATTGCCTGCTCTTCCAAAGGTCCTGAGTTCAATTCCCGGCAACCACATGGTGGCTCACAACCCTCTGTAATGAGGTCTGGTGCCCTCTTCTGGCCTTCAGGCATACAGACAGAATATTGTATACATAATAAATAAATAAATAAATAAATAAATAAATATTTAAAAAAAAGAGAATATTGTAAATTTTGGTGAAACAGTCCTTTTCACCAAACCCATTTTCTATTATTGGTAAAGGAGAGAACAGGAGCCGGGCAGTGGTGGCGCAAGCCTTTAATCCCAGCACTCGGGAGGCAGAGGCAGGCGGATCTCTGTGAGTTCCAGATCAGCCTGGTCTACAAGAGTTAGGTCCAGGACAGACTCCAAAACCACAGAGAAACCCTGTCTCTACTCCAAAACCAAAAACAAAAAAAAAAAGGAGGGAACAAGAGTGTACAGGATGCATGATGGCCAGTGATTTCTTGGGAATTGATTTTGATTTGAATCTTACAGTACTTCTTTAAGAAACACACACACACACACACACACACACACACACACATATATATATATATAATTCTACTTTAAGAAACATATATATGAGAGAAACACTGTCTCAAAAAACCAAAAAAAGGCCAGGCGGTGGTGGCACACGCCTTTAATCCCAGCACTCGGGAGGCAGAGGCAGGCGGATCTCTGTGAGTTCGAGACCAGCCTGGTCTACAAGAGCTAGTTCCAGGACAGGCTCCAAAACCACAGAGAAACCCTGTCTCGAAAAACAACAACAACAACAAAAAAAAAAAAACCAAAAAAAGAAACATATATATGTATATGTTTATATATTTGTGTTTGTCTCTTGGTTTGTCAATCGTGTCATCTATATTGCTGATTTTGTGAACTATAATTTAATCATATCATGCACTGTCTTTGAAAATGATGGACCTTCACCAATTTGTACTCAGAATATTTCTTATACTCTTTGGTGATAAACAGTTCTACATTTCTCTTCTTGATCTCAGATGCTTGCT